GCTGCTGCTGCTGCTGCTGCTGGTGTTGCTGCTGCTGCTGCTGCTGCTGCTGCTGCTGCTGCTGCTGCTGGTGATGGTGGTGGTGGTGAGGTGGAGTTGGAGTTGGATTTGTTTTTTGTTTTTTGGAAATTAATTTCAAAATATGAAAAAGCGAAAATGCGGCGAAGAGGTTTTGCTGCCGAGCAGCAGATTTGGCGCTGCGCTGCAGCGCATGCAGCCGCGCAGCAGCAGCGCGTTGCTGCAGCGCAGCAGCAGCAGCAACTTTGTCTATTTGCGTCGCTTCTTTTTATTTATTTATTTATTTTATTTATTTATTTTTTATTTTGTTTTATTTATTCTTTTTTAATTCGAATTTTGTCCAAGTCCTCACCGACAGACAAAAGCGCCTCGCCCCGAGGCTGTGCGCACCACCGCCGACACGGACTCTCCGGCTTTTTAGGGTTTAGGGTTTAGGGTTTAGGGTTTAGGGTTTGGGGTTTCAAACTGCTGCGAGACAAACTGCTTTCGTCCTTTAATCAAATTTAAATTGTTTTTATTTTATGCTTTTAATCAGCTCCCCAACGGGGGCCTCCAGGACTGCAGAGGAGGCCACTGGCCTGCCCACTGGCTGCTACAGACAGCTAGCTAGCTAGATAGCTAGCTAGCTAGATAGCTAGCTAGCTAGCTAGATAGCTAGCTAGCTAGCAGGGCAGCTAGCTACTGAGCCCTATTGGGGTGAACGCAGTCCCGAGGACTCTCTGGGCAGCCCTGTGGCTGCGGGCTTCACTGCAAGGATTCTCGGCCATAGCTAGCTGTAGCTAGCCACAGATAGCTATAGCTAGCCACGGCTAGCCACAGCTGGTCGCAGCTAGCCACAGCTAGCTACAGCTAGATATAGCTAGCCACAGGTAGCTACAGCTAGCTACAGCAGGACACAGCTAGACACAGCTAGACACAACTCACTGAGGCTAGCCACAAATGCCTGCGGCAAGCCGTAGCTAGCTGCGGCTGGTGAGGGGCACCTGAAGCTTACGCTGCAGCTAGCTGTGGCTAGCTGCAGCTAGCTGTGACCAGCTTCTTCAGCTGCTGCCCGCTGTAGCTAGCTGCAGCTAGCTAGCTGCAGCTAGCTGCAGCTAGCTGTGGGCTGCCGGACTTTGGCAGCAGCAGATGCAGCAGGATGTGCAGCAGAAGGCCGCAGTGTATGTGTGCTGTACGTACACCGCAAGACAGGGCCCCCCGGGTGCAGCATGCTTGGGGTGTACAGACAGCTTGCGTGCAAAACGCATGCATGCAAAAGTGCCTTTAAAAGTGCATTTTAATTGAATTTTTGTTTTAAAAAATATTCATTTGTGAGCATTTGAAGGCAAAAGTAAAAATAAAATTCACAAATGGACTTTCCGCCAGGTGTATGTACACCTGCGCGTGCGCAGGTGTACATACACCTGAACAGAAGGCAGCAAAAACAACGAAATGTCTTTTCCACTTTCTAAAATAAATACTTTTTCATTTTTTTAAATTAAAATTAAAATTAAATTTCTGTTTTTGCATGCGGCGAAAGCTTCTGCGTGAAATGGATGTTTGCCCATCCAGGTGTACGTACACCTCAACATGTGGCTGTTCATCGTCGAGTTTGTTGCTGCCTTGAACGCTGAGGACTTGCTGCTGCTGCTGCTGCTGCTGCTGCTGCTGCGTTTGCCGTTACCGTGACGGTTGCTGCTGCTGCTGCTGCTGCTGCGTTCGCCGTTACCGTGACGGTTGCTGCTGCTGCTGCTGCGGCGGCGTTCGCCGTTGCTGTGACGGTTGTTGCTGCTGCTGCTCCTAACGCTGCCGCTGCTGCTGCCGCTGCTGCTGCTGCTGCTGCTGCTGCAGCGTTTGCCGTTACTGGGACGGTTGCTGCTGCTGCTGCTGCTGCAGCGTTTGCTGTTACTGTGACGGTTGCTGCTGCTGCTGCTGCTGCTGCCGCAGCTTGTGTTAGTGCAGCAGCAGCTACGGCTCCTGTAGTTACAGCTGCATATATGGATGCTGCTGCTGCTGTTGCTGCAGTAGATGCTGCTGCAGCAATCTTTGCCGCTGCTGCTGCTGCTGCGCGAGCTGCTGTGCTGCAGATCAGGCACAGGGAGCTGCTGCAGCTGGCGCCTCTGTCGCCGCTGCTTCAAGATAAACCCTAAACCCTAAACCCTAAACCCTAAACCCTAAACCCTAAATCCGCGAGTTGAAAAAGGAGAACATTAAATCCCAAGTACGAAGTCTAAGCGGTGCTGCAGCAGCAGCAACTTTGCTAGTGTGGCTGCTTGCTTCAATTGTGAATCAAGAGCGGCAGCAACAGCAGCAGCAACAAGCCCAACAGCTGCTGCTGCAGCTGCTGGGCTTGTTGCTGCTGCTGCTGCTGCTGCTGCTGCTCTTGATTTTGCTGCTACTTCTGCAGCCATTTTAAGCAGCTTCAGCAAAATGAATGAAAACAAAAGTGCAGCAAGTAGAATCTGCTGCTGCTGCTGTCTAGGAGCAGCAGCTTCAGGTGTACAGACACCTCAAGTTAGCCATTCTCAGGCACTTTGCAGCTGCACTTTACATCCGTTGCTGCTGCTGCTGCCGGTCTTGCTGCTGCTGCTTTTGTTGCTGTTCACTCCTGCCGTCTCTGTTGCTGCTGCTGCAGCAGCTACTGCAGTAGCTTCTGCTGCAGCAGCTGCAGCAGCTGCTGCAGTTTCTGGCGCTGCAGCTTTGCTGAACAGCCGCATAATTATTACCTTTTTTTGGCCGCTGCAGCAGCAGCAATAACGGCAGCAGCAACAACGACAGCAAAGGCAACAGCAGCAGCAGCAGCAATGGCAACAGCAGCAGCAACACTAGCAGCAGAAATAGCCGAAGCAGCAGATCCAGTACCGTCAAATGCAGCAGCAGCGGCAGCAGCAGCGGCAGCAGCAGCGGCAGCAGCAACTGCAACGGCAGCAACAGCGGTAGCACAACCGCCAGTAAAGGTTGCAGCAGCAGCAGCAGCAGCAGCAGCAGCAGCCAGCAGCATCACCAGCAGCAACACGAGGAACAAGAGAAACACAAGCAGCAGCAGCAGCAGCAGCAACAGCAACAACAACAGGAGCAGCAGCAGCAGCAGCAGCAGCAGCAGCAGGATCTAACCAATGAATCAACGCTGGAGTTGTGGCGGTGCACAGCACGCCATGCCAGCCGCTGCTTGTGAGTTTAATTAAATTAAATTAAATTAAATTAAATTAAATTAAATTGAATTATTTTATTTTATTTTAATTCATTTTATTTATTTCTCGATTGCTCATTTCTGACTCCGCCTTCTCCCGCTGCAGCAGCTGCTGCTGCTGCGCTGCTGGGCTGGGGCCCCCCGGGGGCCCCGTTCCCCCTGGAAGAGCTGCAGCAGCAGCAGATATAGTTTTCTTTGATTTTGTTTGTGCTGCTGTTTCATTTTTGAATATATTTGTTTATATATCAGCTGGAGAGGCTTGTGGCTGCTGCGGCAGCCCAACTCAGCAGCAGCAGCGGCTGCAGCAGCTGCAGCAGCTGCAGCAGCAGCAGCAGCAGCAGCAGCAGCGGCCTCAGGGCCCCCCTCCCCGTCTTCCATGTGGTGCCCCCAAGTACCAGGAGCGCTGCTGCCGGCCCTCTCACCTGGCACCGATGAGGTGTCAGGGCCGCAGCAGCAAGAATGCAGCAGCAGCAGCAGCAGCAGCAGCAGCAGCTTGAGCGGCTGCTGCAGTTCGGAGGGTGTATAGAGGATCCGCAGCAGCAGCAGCAGCAGCAGCAGCAGCTGCCGCCTCCGGTCTTCGTCTCATGCCCCTCTCTCTACCAAACGCCGCCCCTCCACCTCCGCCCAGCAGCAGAGTCGCTGCTGCTGCTGCACTACCGCAGCGCTGCTGGATTGCTGCTGCTGCACATGCATGCAAAGGAAGCAGCAGCAGCAGCAGCAGCAGCAGCAGAAGCTCCAGCAGCAGGTGGATGGAGGTACTCTTTGGCCTACCTCGACGGCCTCAGCAGCGCAGCGGCGCTGCAGCAGGCGGAGGCCTGCGGCGGGTTTGCTGCAGCAGCAGCAGCAGCAGCAAGCGCCCCAGCAGCAGCAGCAGCAGCAGCAGCAGCAGTTGCAGCTGCTGCTGAGTCTCCCCTTCCCCTCTTCAGCGCAGCAACTTGGGTAGACGCGTGGCCGCTGCTGCAGCAGCACGCAGCACTGCAGCAGCGAAACCGGGAGTCGCTGCAGCTGGCGCTGCTGTTTGCTGCTCTGCTTCCGGGGGGCAAGCAGCAGCAGCAGCAGCAGCAGCAGCAGCAGCAGGACATGGGGCTGGTGCTGCGGCTGCTGGAGCTGCTGCTGCAGGGCGACAGCAGCTTCTGCTGCAGCGCCATCTGCTGCCTCTTGGCCAGCCAGCAGCAGCTGCTGCTGCGCTGCCGCAGCCTCATAGCGCAGCACTTGCTGCCGCTGCTGCTGGGGGCCCCCCGGCACTTGGGGGCCCCCAAGGCTGCGTGGCTGCTGCTGCAGCACGCCTACACATTGCATGCAACTCCCCCGCCTGCTGCTGCTGCTGCAGCAGCAAGGCTGCTGCAGCAGCAGCAGGCCCAGGCAGCAGCAGCAGCGGGAGGGGCGGCCAAGGGGGTCTCGGCGGAGGCGCTGCCAGCAGCAGCCACAGCAGCAGCAGCAGCAGCAGCAGCAGCAGCAGCAGCAGCAGCAGCAGCAGAAGACACTTCCCCCACAGCACACTGCCTCACCATTCTCAGGGTGCTGCGGCAGCAGCAAGAAGCAGCTCAGTTTCTTTCTGCGTCTCCTCAGTTTGCTGCTGCTGTTTTCCTGCTGTGTCTGCGGCTGCTGTCGGCAGCAGCAGCAGCAGGCAGCGTGCTGCTGCTGTGTCGGGAGGCCGAGCAGCTGCTGCTGCTGCTGTGGCGCAGCAGCAGCAGCAGGGCCTCCTGTTTGCTGCTGGGGGGGTCTCTTTTTGCTGCTGCTCTTGGGGACGTCAGCAGAGTGCGGCTTGTGAGGGAAGAGCTGTGGCCGCTGCTGCTGCTGCCTCCCAGTGCTGCTGCTGCTCTCCAACTCTTTGCTGCCAAGCGCAGCAGCAGCAGCAGCAGCAGCAGCAGCAGCAGCAGCGGTGACGACGGTCTGTGTGCTCGACACTACTGCTGGAGAGGCTGCTGCACGTTTGCTTCTGCTGCTAGTGCGGGGCGCGGCCGAAAATCAGCAGCAGCAGCAACTAGCAGCAGCAGCAGCAGCAGCAGCAGCAGCAGCAGCAGCAGCAGCAACAGCAGCGCGGGAGAGGCCCCCATGCTTGCATGGCTTATGTGCTGCCCTCCTTCTCCACGCCTTACTGAGCTGCTGCTGCCGCAGGAGCTGCTGCTGTCGCTGCAGCAGCTGCTGCAGCAGGAAACGTACCAGCAGCAGCGGCTGCTGCAGCAGCCAGGCTTGCTGCTACTGCAGACCGGCCGTGGGGCAAGTCTTGGCGGGCTTGCTGCTGCTGCTGCTGCTGCTGCGTCTCACTGCAGCAAGGAATTGCTGCTGCAGCGGGAGTGGTTCATCTCTCGCTGGCTGTCGACGGAGAGCCCACAAGCAGCAGCAGCAGCAGCAGCAGCAGCAGCAGCATCTACAGCAGCAGCAGCAGCAGCAGCTCGCGGATTGCAGTGCAGCAGAGCCCCCTGGCTCTCTTCCTTTATCGGGGATATCTCTTTTTATTTGCTGCTGCACTCTGCTGCAGTTTGCTGCCTCCCGCGCCGCCGGGGAAGTTCCCCTGAGGGGCCCCTCGCCCCGCAGCAGCAGCAGCAGCAGCAGCAGCAGCAGCAGCAGCAGCTGCTGCTGCAGCAGCAGCTGCAGCAAGACCAGCATAATGGCGAGGCGGAGGGCGACCCAGGGGCCCGAGACAAAGCCCTCAAGGCCAGCCCAAGAGCAGCAGCAACAGCAGCAGCAGCAGCAGCAGCAGCAGGCAGCCAGGCGCAGCTGTGCTGCGGGACGCTGCCCGTGCTGCAGCAGCTGCAGCAAACTGTGGAGCTGCTGCCAGAGCCCCACGCCTATTTGTGTCTGCTGACTCAGCGGGTGCAGCTGTGCATGCGGTGGCTGCTGTTTGCTGCTGCTGCTGCTCCGCTGCCTGCTGCTGCTGCTGCTGCTGCCTACCCCTGGTGCTGCAGCACGAAGCAGTGGCGCGACGCCACGCTGCAGCTGCTGCGCTCGCTGCAGCAGCAGCAGCAGCAGCAGCAGCAGCAGCAGCAGAAACTCAAGCGGATTGTTGTGGGCAGCAGCGCCTGCGCTGTCCCGCAGTGTTCTCCAGAATTCATAAGAGACGCTGTGCTGCTGCCGACGCTGCAGTTCGTGGCTCTCTTCAGCAGCAGCAGCAGCAGCAGCAGCAGCAGCAGCAGCAGCAGCGGGGCGGCTTTGGCTCAGGGGCTCGCAGGAAAGCCGCAGGGCGGCGCGTCTCCGCTTGAAGGCGCTGCTGCAGCAGCAGCAGCAGCAGCAGCAGCAGCAGCAGCAAGTGGAGGGGGAGTAGCTTCGCTTTTGCCGGTGGCAGTGCCGCTGCTGCAGCAGCTGCAGCAGGGACGCAACTGCAGCAGCAGCTGGGTGTCTTCGTTTGTGGACTTCTTGTCGCTGCTGCTGCAGCACTGGGCCCCTGCAGCAACTCCGCTGTTTGTTGCTTCTGTTGCTGCTGCCTTTGCTGCTGTTGCACTGCTGCAGCTGCTGCTGCATCCTCCCCAGCTGAAACTGGACTCTGCACAGATATCGGCGAAGGCGCGCGAGGCAGCAGCAGCAGCTGCTGCTGCTGCGGCAGACGCAGCAACATCCGATGCAGCAGCAGCAGCAGCAGCAGCAGCAGCAGCAGCAGCAGAGGCGACGCATACGCTGCGCAGCTGGTCTGTGTCCCTTTCTGTTTTCTTCAGCAGCAATTTAATTAACTGTCTCCTCCTAGAAAGGGGGGGGTTTGCCATTCGTGTCGGCTTCAGCAGCAGCAGCAGCAGCAGCAGCAGCAGCGGCAGCAGCAGCAACAGCAGCAGCAGCAGCAGCAGCGTGGGCCCTCTTCGGGTGTACATACACCCCGAGAAAAGCAGCTTGAAAGAAGGCTCTCAGAGGTTTCCTTTGTCTCCTTTGCTGACCAGTGCGCTGCTGCAGTCGCAGCTGCTGCTGCTGCTGCTGCTGCTGCAGCCGGAACGTTATGGGGCCCCCCTGCCAGGCAGGTTGGGGGCCCTCAGCAAAGACATACGGTTCTTGGCTGCTGCTGCTGCTGCTGCGGCTCCCCAGCAGCAGCAGCAGCAGCAGCAGGGCCATCCGCCGCAAAACCTGAAGAAACTGGAGCACCTTTCGCGGGAACAGCAGCAGCAGCAGCCACAACCACAGCAGCAGCAGCCGCAGCAGCAGCAACAGCAGCAGCAGCAAATGAGCCTGCTCGCGCTGCAGCAGCAACAGAGCTCCGCCCTAGGCCTGCCGGTAGGAGCAGCTCAAAGTGCGGGGCAAGGAGTCCTGCAGCAACAGCACATGCGGCAGCAGCAGCAGCAGCAGCAGCAGCAGCAGCAGCAGGACAAGTGTTACTCTGTGCCGCAGCACGAGAGTCTTGCTGCTGCTGCAGCTGCTGCTGTCGCTGCTGCGGCCCCAGTGGCTGCCATGCTGCCTCACCGCGAGCTGCTTGATTGGCTGCACGCCGGCAGCGCTGACTGCAGCAGCAGCAGCAGCAGCAGCAGCAGCAGCAGCAGCAGTGGGTTGCGCATTCACTGGGGGTCTCTCGAAGCACCTCCAACTCTCTTTGCAGCATCTAAGAATGCTGCTGCTGCTGCTGCTTTTTGCTGCTGCTGCGCCATCTCTGCCGCCACCTGCGTTGCGTGTGCCGGGCGAATGGGCAGAAGCAGCAACTGCAGCAGCAAGACCAACAGCAGCAGCAGCAGCAGCAGCAGCAGCAGCAGCAGCAGCAGCCGCGGGGATGACTTCGCAGCATCTGTAGGTCGCTACAAGGCAGTGTGGGAAGGCCTAGTTGCTGAAGCAAGCGCAGCAACCGCAGCAGCAGCAGCAGCAGCAGCAACCCCAGCAGCAGCAACCCCAGCAGCAGCAACCCCAGCAGCAGCAGCAACAGCAGCAGCAGCAGCACAGCTTTCTGGTTGCGGGCTTAAGGGCCCCATCAGAGGGCTCAAGGGTTTGTGGGTTGCGGAGCTGCTGCTGCGG